GCCAGCAAAACGTGAACCCCCGACCATATTTTCCATTAGTAATAATAATAAAAGATAATTATTGAGCCTGTCTGTCAGATATTCCAGACAAGTGTACCTCTACTTAATTAACTGCTAATTGAGATATGAAAGAACGGTGCTGTGAGTGCACACCCTGGCTTTATTAAGCCTCAGAAAATCTTTCCCAGAGGGGGGGGGAAGAAAAACCCTAACTAGTGAAGGCTGAGCCCCTCCCTGGGTGAGGAGAGGATCTGAGGAGGTGTCATCTGTGTCATCTTGTTACGGGAGGACACTGAGGAGGCTGAGGTAGGCAAGGGAGTTCTCCTTGTGCTCTGCGCTGAGCTAATCCCCTGATGCGTGTTAACTAAGTCTTCATGGTCATCCAGGGAATGCTGTCCCCATTTCACAGATTAGAAAACGATGCTGAGCTGGATTAAGTAATTATCTTTTCTAAAAGAAGGTGGCTGGTACGAGAGAGGGTTTGAGCCAAATCCTGTGCATTCCACATGTTGTTCCAGCAGATACTAGAGGTAGAAATGTCTTCACCATTAGTAACAAAGCAGAAGAGCACCCATGGTGGCTGCTCTGTTTGTGTGCCAGCACCCACGCCCTAGGGGGGCCCTCCCACTTTAAACCGGAGAACCCGCACGGCCCACAGAACGTGCAGACACAGTGACGTTAGTCACAAAGCCACGGAGGCCCTTTCTTTGATTGCTCACGCAGAGGAGCCAGCACCCCGTAAGGAAACTCAAGCAGCCTCACAGAGACCCTCATGGGAGAAACGGAAGCCTCTTCCAACCACCAGCCTCACATAAGCGAGCCCTCTTGGAAGCAGATCCTTTAATCCAGCAGGTCTTCAGGTGACTACACCCCACGACATCTTCACTGCAACCTCATCGAGGACCCTGAGCCAGAACCCCCCAGACAGACCACCTGTTGATTCCTGGCCACAGAAACTACGTGATATAACAAATGATTGTTTTAAGCCACTGGATTTAGGGATAATTTGTTATGCATCAGTAGATAACAAATTGAGAATTCATGAACTTTTCACAGCCTGCTAATTGCAGTCCTGCCAATACCAGGGGGTCAGAGAAATTCTTCTGAGAAACATTCACATTTGTATGCCTGAAAGCACGTGTCTGAGATAACGGCCATTCAGGGTCCCTCCCGGTAGGAGCCCCAGTGAGTTTCAGAGGGAATGTGGGTCAGATGGCCAGTCATTGCCCAGGTTTCCCACATTCTCATTAAGATGACCAAGTACGACTTGTTGATGGGTCACAGTCTGGCCCACAGTCTGGTTGGTTCAGCAACCAACCGCTGCGAGAATGGAGGAAACATGAATCGGTCATGTTTTCGGGTACTGGGTAATTTTGTCTAGAGCTGGTCAGCATCCTAGGAATCAAGTAGCTATCACTGGGACATCTCCAGCAGTGCTCAGTACACAAGCCCACACCATCCCAGCACCGAGGTTGAAACTGAATACCAAAACGAACTGATGCTGTGAAGTCTGAGGTCCCAGCCGCGGCACTCTGCTCTCTCACCTGGCCTGGCAGGTGCCTTTTTTTCTGCCCATGATTCACCTAAGTCAAAGGGGAAAACCTACAAGGCTTTGGAAACATCTGTGATTGAAGTCGATAGGGCCCCTTGGGCTGTACTCTCTGGACTGCCCAGATCCTCAGTCCTGCCTGGGCAGCCAGGGCAGAGAGCCCATGCCACAAAGCCCCAGCCCAGCCCCCTGTGTGGCCGAACTCAGCTTCCATGCAAGAGGGTCAGCATTTGATGAGGAAGGAAAGTGCCTTACACATTTTCTGGGCTTATTTTATAGATTTTTTTTTTTCAAAGATGAGCTGTTGCAGGTTGACCCTAGAAAATGCTGGGCACCCAAGAGGCAAAGAGCTGGTGAGCGAGGGCTAAGAGGAGTGTGGAGGAAGACGCTCATTGGCCAAAGTCCACCGAGCAGGCCCCTGTGTTCTCCCTGTGTCTCTCATGGGCCCCTGCCTCTCCCGCAGAGGCCTCTCGAGGTGTGAGGCCGACGGCATGAGGCAGCATGAGGCCCGTGGCCACCATTTCTCTCAGCTAAGGGTTTCACCTCTGGACTTGCTACCACAGGAGCACTCGCCAAGGTTGTGACACACCAGCTTCAATTTCTGTCCTAATCGTCCTTTGCTTTGTCTCCAATGTGAAAATCTGCTCTGAGATAAGGCCTTTGTGTGACATATTAGGGCTGTACAACTTGTTAATCAAATGAAGCCGGTGTCGTGGTGAGGCAGTATGCTATATCACAAGGCCCATTATACCGGGTTTGTGATGAGCTTTATTGTGACAGGCAAGTGTGATTATGACTTCAGGAGCGTTGGCACATGCTTGTTCAATTCAACTGGCCACAGCTCAGCCCACAGCTGGAAACGTGTGCATGTGTGTGTGTGTGTGTGTGTGTTACTATGGCCAGCTCTGAGAGACAGGAGTTCTGTGTCCTCTTCTTTGTGTTCTCAGTGCCTGGCATGGGCACTGCCAAGTGACCAAAAACCTAAATGAGCTCACATATCCACGTTCCACATGTCTGCATATGCGTGGGTGGGTGTGGCAGGACGTGTGTAAGGACATGTTCCATGCTGTTGACGCGGATTGAGGAGAGTGTGGGTGGCGCTGGGAAGGAGAGGAAATGGTTAAAGCCAAGCAGCAGAGAAGAGAGACAGTGTCCCTGAAAAGCCGGGGGCACGGGGCACGTAGCATGATCTTGGAGTAAAAGTATTTGTACTTATGCAAAAGGAAGCTGAGGGGGTGGAGTTCGTGCATTAAGTCAGAGCAAGTTGCACAGGATTTCAGTAAAAAACTACAAACAGAACACCCGGTATATCTGTGATCTATGCATCATCAGGTTTAAACAAGCAAAGGGGAGGCTATATATTTTGGGTGCTGTGATACCACCCAACAGAGACAATTCCCCAGCTGCTGAGAATGTTGGCTGCCGGCAGCTCATGCTGAGTTTCTTTCCAGGAATTGACCTCAGCTAAAAAACATGTCTTTACCCAAAGATGCACCCACTCAAAGACTGGCCTATATGCCACCCAAAGGCCTGGATTCCTCCTCACTGAAGACAGAGCAACCTCCAGGGGTTCAGCTTCTTGTGCTCTCCCACAGATGCTAGGACCCACCAGAATGTGCCAGTGACCCTTCTGTGCGCATATTAAGTTTTGTTCTTCCATAAGGTGGAAAGATACATACCAATTCTATTAAAGTGTTATCTTAAGGGACCAAGATAGGGAGAAATGATTAGTTTTTGTGTATGTCTTCCTATTATGATTCCCTTATTGCCATAAGCATATATCACTTAATTTCAAGAGTACTGAATGAAGAAATTTAAAATGTATTCAACAAACATGTCGAATGAATGAATGTATGATCTCTCTCTCTTGTTGGAGAAATAGAAAACAATTAAATAGCACATTGAAGGTGTTCAGTGTGTAAAGAACTCAACTGAAGGGGATTTTGCCAACATTTTGGATAATGCTTGACTAGTTGATTCAAAAGATCTTGGGCTAACTTTCTGAGAGTGAGGTCAGCATCTCACAAGTAGGATAAGAAAAAAGTTAATAGGTGGAAGAAAAAAGGAGAGGGTGAGTTAATTCTATGAAACAGGAGAGATAGTCTAGTATCAGACCTATCTGCCTTCAAAATGAGCTAAAATATTTTGCAGCTACTATCCAAATTGCACTGTCTGAGAACTTGTCAGTTTTTAAATTTTCTGAGCAGATAGATTTGAATTGGAAGAGGAAAATCTCTGGCATTTATATGACCTGCAACATCTCTTTGTCTCAAGTATCAGCAAAACCATCCATGACCGACCACTGCCTTCCTAATGACCAGCCCCAGAATCCTTTGCTCTCCTTTCCCTCCAGGGAGCCCAGGCTGATAAGCTGGAGCACTTCCCAGAGATGGACTCTATTTGTCCCTCCAGAACTGACGGTCTTTACACTTCCTCCAATTCTGAGGTTCCATGTGGTTCTCTGGAGAAGGTGGATTCATTCAGGAGTGATTCAGATGAGCAGGTCTATACCTTAGCCAAATGCATGCCTCTTAGTTGCCAACTGATCTTTGCAAATACATCCTTTTTAGGCGCCTACAGATGAGATCCCTGAGGCTCAGTGTCTTGTGTGGAGAAGGCTTGGCAGGGTTTGAGAGAAAGAAGTCCTTGAAGGCATAATTATTGAGCTACTGACTGTGCTGACAGGTCCCTGGGAGTTGTGTAGGGGAGGCCTGGCCCCAGTTCTGCACAGCAACTCTGATTGAAAAGACTGACAAGTTCCCACTTGCAAGAGGTGTCCCTCCTTCTGGTGATGGTGGTTCAAGCTGAGAGAAACACTCTTTGTTCTGCCTTCATTCATTCATTGAGTCTTTGTGGAATGTCTCTGTGCTGGGTTGTTCTTGGGATGAGTGCTAGAGTTGGGAGCAAATCAAAGACTCTGACCTTGAGGAGAGTCCAGAAAGACCTTGAAAGCCCCAGTGAACATGGCACAAATTAGGATATTTACAATAATCATGGCTTTTGTAATATTGGAATGAATGTTCAATGTGCTGAGGATGCTAAGGACCTTTTAAAGGGGGTGCAGGTTGGGAGGAAGGGGTTGGATGGGAGCTTCCTGGAGGAGGTATAAAGCATTTTTCATAATCAAATCATCTAAGAATGTGTTGAGGTCACCTTCAAAGAGCTTAGATTTGTTACAGAAAGCATATTCTAGATTTATAATCATTCTATAGGATTTTTATCTTAAACATTTGTCGTTTTATTGCAAAGCTATGAGAATGAATGAAAAAATATGAAATGAACAAAACTCTCCACAGAATAAAATAATGCGCAGCAACTTTCATTGCTTTAGAAATCAGCCCACCTTTGAACTTATTTATGAAGACAGAAGGTGTTTGGAATGGGAAGGGAAACCGAGGTTCCTTGTTACGCAGTCCTAACTGTTTTCTTCCCTGCTTTATCCCTGGTTCAGGCTCTGGCTCATCCCACTGCACAGAGAGTGATCTCTTCTGGAGTCAGGGTTAAAGAGTGTGCAGACAGCAGCGAGAGGCAACCCCGAGACTCCATCACAAAAGGTACCATTTGCTTTGAACCTCTTGTCATTCATCACTCCAATGGCCAGTTCCAGGCTTTCACTGGTAACTGCATATTCCCTGGGATCTGAGACCCTTTGTCACTGAAACAACAGCCTGGGGGATAGTCTCCCAGACCAAGGTGACCAATAGCATCAGTTCCGCCAGGCTCCATGCCATCTCTGAAAATGCTGGAGAAAGTGGGTACTAAGGTTTTTGGCATCTCGTAAAATATTTCTGAAATGCATTTCATGATGCACTTGGTAATAAAAGTATGCTACTGTGCACGGTCCCTCCACGAGGCTAGACTCGATTCCCAGCCCACCCGCGCCTGCACCGAGCCCGCATGAATCAGTGCTAGATTATTCACCAGCCTGACGCTAAAATTTCTGGAGTTCCAAAACCCCTCATAAAGTATTATGAAAAAATATCCATCTCTTTATCTCTATCCATAACTATTTATATGACTGGAGGGAAAAACCTGCCGTTTTATTTCTTTTAATTTAAAAGCTTTCCTAATTCCTTTTTCCTACCACATATATATGTCTAAAGAATTTTCGGGTTGAAATAATAAACTCTAAAAAATGGTCCGCGAGAGAAGGTGCGGATTCAGAGTTGAAAGGCATGATGAATATTTTGCTCCCTTAAAGACTTTGCATGATGCTCACTGAATTGGGAAGTTTTCAGTAGGCATGGCCCTTTTCTATGGTACAGAATGGTGACAACATACCCACAGGCCTTCCCTCTGTTTATACAATAAAGTTTGTTCACAAGAACATTTCCTTCCCAAGACTCACGATGTCCCCATCACATCCTCACTGTCCATCATGATACTCTGGGAGTCTGTTCTGAAGTCCCACATGTGAATCTACTCAGAACATCCTCAGTAGCATCCTGCCTTTCTTGGAGACCCTTGACTACAAAGTACCCCAGGCCGTTTATAACACCTTTGAACATTCAAGGTCACAAGCGAGGACATCACACTCAGTGACTGTCAGCCACTCACCTTTAAAGGTGAACTAGTTAATTTCTTGCTTCTGGGCTATCAGAGGGTTGGGATCAAGTTCTCTGCAACCGGAGCTGGAACAGGGTGGACCAGCTAGGCAGCAGCTGGAAGCACCTGTCAGAAATGCATCACCGGAAATACATTAAGATAGAGATATTTTCACTTATCAGCACTGTGCTCAGAGAAAGTGCTTATATAGATGAAGGCACGTTTGACAAACTGCTTGGATGGGGGATTAAGCTCCTTACTCAAAGAACTTGTTTAAATAAAAACACTCGACTGTAAACTGACTTCTAAGTAAGAATTCAAGGTGAGCATGAGATCCGGGGTGCTATCACCCTCTTTAAAACAGATGTTGAATAAATATTTAAAGAACATTGGTTTAAAGGTGAGATGAGTCATTGGCAGACAAGAGCACCATGTATCTTAGTGCAGCCCTGCTGCCTAAGGCTTTAATGGCGGGGGGGGGGGGGGGGTGGAAGGATGAAGAAGGAGCCCAGGTTTCTGCATGACTCTGGGAGAAGCAGGCAAGGGGGGAGAAGAGACTAGGGAGATGGGTCCCCATCACATCCAGGGACAGCTTCACTCCAGCAGCGAGGACCCTGCCCTTGGTCTTACCTTTGGGAAACAACCCCCAGGCTGAAGCAGAGAATGCTCATGACCGACACGATGAGCTGCAGTGTCCTAAGTCACCGAGAGCCATACACAGAGCAGGACAAGCCCCCCTTCAGTCGAGGGCCAGCAGGAGAGTCAGACCAAGGAGGATGTGAGGGGTCTGCCCCGAAGTGACTAACAGTGAGCCCTGCGGGTCTCCAGAGAGGGGAACTCCTCACAAGGCCACGGGGAGCAGTGTTCACAGGTGGTTCTTAGAAGCACCAGCCGCTGGGCCAATTAACTCCCAAAGCCACCTCCTGGCTGAGAGCCAGTCCATCTTCCCTGCTGCGTCTTTTCACCTGTGTAGGACCAACCTCACGGGGGGCAGGCCTTGTCCAGGTCGACCTTCTTTCCTGGGCACTTAGAAATGGCTTCTTACCCCCGAGCTTGGTCCTGGAATGGCGGAGGTCACCAAACAGGAAGGCAGCCAGTGCCCCTGGCTCTTGGACGGTTCAAACCGAGGCGTGTCCACCAGGCTGCTCCCAGCTGCGGGCTCGGCTTGCCTCTGTCCTACCTTCAGTCCCCGTGCGTTTGCAGGCAGCTTATTTTGAGAGCTGATTAGATGAGCCCTAATAACGTTAGAACTTAAATGGCCCCAGATGGGCCTTCAGCTTCTTGCGAAATTGAGATAAATGTGATATTCGGGGAACTGAGCTCTCAGCTTCGTGGACGGCAGACGAATTCTGAGGCACTTTACCCTCTCCTGTGCTTTTTTGCAGCAGAAAGTTGGGTTTATATACCTCTGTGGGGTCCCTTTCATCTGAGGGTCTATGATTCTGTGTGAAGAATTGCCTCCATGATCACATTTTTTCAAGGAAAGCTGGGTTGGGGACAAGAGGCTTCAAACAGAATCATTTCATTTGACACAATCTGTGTGGGAAAACTCTCCCCTGTGCCCCAACACCTCTGGGAACTTTGAGTCCAGGCAACGACCTTTACCGATCAACTACTATTTAGCCATTTAATTCAATACTAATATTGTTCATAGTAGACTTTGGCCAAGGATCACATAAAGTGATTACAAATATGAGCGTTTCATTGCACGAAAACGTCCAGGGCCCTCTGTAACTCTTCTGGGAGGGTTTATTTCCAAGAAGGACAAACACATTTATCATGTAAATAGTTATAGGCTTCCATTTTAATTCCCTCTGTAAATTTTAGAAAAAAGTAAAAACAGACTTGGAAAAAGGAATTTTTAAAAGGTGAGTATAAACAGGCAGTTCAGTGCCGAGGCAAAGGTATCCTTACAAACACACCCAAATTGAGTTGTCCTATCTGTCCTCAACCAAACCAGGCACACAGGTTTCCCTGAAACTCCTAAAACCGTGGTTTGCTCCTCTGGATGTGGGGCGCGGGGGGGGGGCGGGGGGGGCATTCAAGAAATGTCTTTGAGCTTAAACTTCCCTTCGAAAAGCTCAATAACTGGAGATGCTCTTTCCATCTTTCAGATGAAACTAGACCTTGAGCTTAGACCTGGCCTTTGTATTTGGGTGGGAAAGACCACCCCCTGTTCTCCTGAAAGGAGGCTGAGGATGCCCAGGTGCCAGGTTAGGAGAAGACAGGGAGGGACCTGGGCCCGGGCAGAGCTATGAGCACACCGCCCCTGCTGCTCTGATCCCAAGCTCGTCCCAGCCTCTGGGGACAACTGAGGGGTTTCTGGAAGACTTGAACTGTGGCTGGGATCAGAAACTGCAATTGGATGTGAATGTCCAGTTTCGTAGACGTTGGGCAAAGCACAGCTCTGGAACCACCGTGTCTAGCTCTATCCCAAACTCCCATCAGTGAGGGCTGTGCCACTGGGGGAGGGGGGGTGAGGGAGGGCAGAGGACTTGGCAGAGCCTGCAGGCTTAGCCCTGCACCCTCAGGGCGTGCGGGTCCAGCTAGTGTGATGGGCTCTCATGAGGACCATGTTATCTGAGAGGTCGCAGCTCCGACAGGCCTTTTCCAGGACTGCGTGTGGTTTCTCTCAGCCTCTGTGGTTACATGGGAAGGGCAGTGACACTGGCAGGTCACCTGGCAGTTGACCTGGCTGGAGCTCCCCTCTTCCTCTACTAAGTCCCCGCCTCAGCCTCTGGTCCATTCATTGCCCTCCACGGTCCCTTTTCTCACTTCTATTCTGTCTCGGTTCCCTTTCTTCTGCCTATAGACAAGATTTGTCTCCATTAAAACCAACAAACAAAACCGCTTTCCCTTGATTTCCTGACTCTGCGTCACCTCCTCTTATTCTGAGCTCTGTGGGATATTCTACATTCACTTCTCGACTGTGTTCACCCTTTAATCCTATGGGAAACGGTGCATCCTACCCACCCACCCTGGCAACAAACCCCACATCATTTGACAGACGTTCATTGAGCACATGCTATGTGCCATGCCCAGACTAGATCCCTAGCACAAGTAGGACACACTCTCCCAAGAAAGGCAAGCATGCCTACCCCTGCCCCCAAGGACAAAGTGGTGGTAAGTGGGGGGATGAGGCTGTGGAGAGGCAGGGTGAGAATCTTCAGCCCCGTCTTGGGAGCAGGGACCAGCAAAGCAAATAAAGGAGTCCCCGGATGGATGCTTGAACTTGAACCCTCTTGTGAAGAAGGGAAGATGGAGGGTCTAAAGGTGCAGGGAGGGACACAGTCAGGTTGTCCAGAAAGACCACGGGCAGCAGCATGAGAAGTGACATCCAGAAAGAGCACCTCTGAGTCCAGTTGGAGGTGATGGAGCCTGGACCAAATGGCAGCCCCAGGGATGGCGAAGAGGGGCTCCCCGCCAGCCTGCTCTGCTCCCCTGATCCCACCTGGATGAAGCTCTCTCTGTGTTCCTCCCTCGGCGCGTGTACCGGGCTTTTTCTCCTGCGCTCACTTAGTTGTCTTACAGTCATTTGCTTCTTTCTCTATTATTCCTTATCAAATTGTATCTTTGTCTCCCCTTCCCCTAATTATAGTACCTGGCTCATCATTAGAGCTGAAGAAAAGGTTATTTGGTCGAATTGAATTTTCAAGAGCCTCAAACCATGAATAATTGAGGAATCAGCCATGTATAAGTGCTCATCATTTACATAATTGTGTAAACAAGCTGATAAAAAATTTTATTTTTCCCATTATTTTTATTGTCCCAGAATGCCCCACTATCCTCCTCGTTCTCCAGGTTTCAGGGAAACAGGAAACACAGATTCCCCAACACACACAGGCTGCAGAGGAGCGGCTGGTTCTCACCTCCCCGGGCAAAGGAAGCGGTGAAGGGAGGGAGCAGATGATGGCATTGATGGACGTGAAAGCCACAGACGAACGTTGAGAAAGACACTCTCTGAAGAGACGGAATCACAGAGCACACTGCGTGACAGGCCACGTGCAGA